GCGTCCGGCTCACCGCAGTTTGTTTCCTCTACGCTCCCTCGCTTTGCTTTCTGGTCGCGGGCACGAGCTGTCTCCTCCCACACCCAGCGGAGCTGGAAATAGAGAAGGTTCCCTTTTCTTCTTTTTTTCGGCAGCAGCTGGAGCAGGGGAAATGAGGTTTTTCGGCTACCCGGAGAGGAGGCGTTGTTGGTGGTGGGTGCCAGCAAGGTCCCTGCGAGCCGTCTGGGGCTGCCAGCGTGCCACTGAGTCACAGCCAGCAGCCGCACGAGCGGATGGGTTTTGCGCTAAATAAATAGTGCTCGGTGGGACTGGATGGCTCAGCAGGGGAACGTGAAATGCAATAAGTTGCTTTTTATTTTTTGCTTTTTTTTTTTTTTAAAAATTTCTTCCGTGCTTTTTAACTAAATGATCTGCAAATTAATTCAGTGCCTGTAGAGGAAAAAGGGTTGTTTGTGGTGCCGGCAGCTCTGGGGGCTTTTCCAACCCACCCGGCCATGGTTCTCGCGGGGGTTTGTGTTAAACCTCGATGTCTGTGGCTGAGTCCAGGACTTTTTTCCTGGTGCGTTCCCCACCAGCACCGCTGTGTCTGGGCAGGATTTGAGCCCTGCAGTGAAGATGTGGACTCCTCTGCCTGGAGCAAACACTAGAGGGGATCGTGCCAAGGCCAGGCACTGGCACTGCTCACCTCAAACCTCATCAAGCCCAGTTGCTTAAGGGCTCTGGTAATTGCTTGCGCAATCAGCAATTGCACAAGAAAATGCACTTCCAGAGATGCTCCGCTCTGGGCTGAACCCTTTGCAGGGCTGTAGTTCTGTCTTAGGTCCTTCTACCTTCTGGACTGGGGTTGCTCCCCCTCTGCAGGGACTACGAACAACCCAGACAGGCTGGAGAGAAAGCGTGGCCGTGTCTGGTCCCATCACGTTTCTGTTTCTGTAAATGAGAGGTGTTCGGTCAGGTTTTCTGTCAAAAACTAAAACTGGCTATGGGCTTTGATGTAGCATATCTTGGGGAAATAGGAAACCACAGAAATGTGTGTGGTCAGCATCTCACAGAGGTCCTTACGGTGTTTTTTGTTGAATGTGCAAAACAGGGCAGGGGGTTTGCACGGGTTTTGTTCTCTAAAAACCTTTCAAACTTGCAAGCCTTTCCATGTCCTTGGCTGTTCTGTTGCATCCAGCTCTGCGTTGCGTGGGGCCAGGCCCTGGGATTGCAAAATGAATCTGGCTCTTAATTAAGCAGTTTTCAGAGGCTGGCCCTGATGCTGGGTAGACCCTCAGCCTCCGTCAGAACTTCCCCACCTACGTGGTCCAGACCAGACACTCCACGTCCACCCAACACCCGGTGAATGTCTCGCATCGAGCTGCCGCATCGAGGCCAGAGTTTGAGTGAATTTCCTGCTGTTTAAGCTCTTTCCTCCCCCCAGCTTTCCCTCTGCCATGTGCTGGATAATGAAACCAGGCACCCATTAAGGCGCTTAACTCCCCTTCTCCTCTCCTCCCCTCGAATCGGCGCTGCCAGCGTGCCAGGTACGGCACGTAAACCTCCCGGCGCGCAGCTCTGCCCTTAATGGGTGGTTTCCCCCACGTGCACAAGGGCTGGTGTGGTCTCAATGCCTGAGTCTAATCACCGCTGTGAAATATTAATTAATCTGGCCGCTATTGAAGCTTTGCTTGCACTGCGGTGTCGGAGCGGCAGGCTCGGCTGAGCAGTGAAGCGTAAATAATGGAGGGCCGAATCCGTTGCTGGTGTAAGCCAGCAGCGGGGCTGATTTACACCCCACGGCTCACCACGGAGCTGTTAAAGCTGGATTTGATGCCCGTGTGCCTCGAGCTGTCGGTGTTTGGAAGGGAGGTGATGGGAGGGAGTGTGTTTTGGACAAATCCAGGTGGGATTCAGAAACGCTGGCACCAGCGTGGATTCAGCCCTCTGGAGCAGCTCCTGTTTGGGGGATCCCTGCATGGGCTGGGGGGAACTCCGGCACCGAGCCACATGCTGGGGGCTCTACGTGGAGCTGCTGAGCTCCCCCCGTCCCCGGCCACGGTGTCTGCCCCAGCGAGCTCCGGCTGCGTCGGTGGAAGTGAGGCGAGAGCGGCGCGTGGAGGAGTGCCAGGGGGAAGCTGCGAATTTAATTGCTGAGCTAAAAGGCTTTGCGCCGACAGCTCCGAGCAGGCTGCGGGCAACGTCTGGGTGAACATTTCCCTCTCCGGCGTGCTCCTCTCCATCCCGCTCGGCAACGTGAGAAATACATCCTGGCAGTGGCAGCCTTGGCTCGCCAGTCCCGGGTGTCTCTTCTCCTTTGCTGTCAGTGCCTTGAAATATTTCACTATCCCTTCATGCTGGCATCAAGAGGGCATGTGAAGGGCCTGGAGAATCAATCCTGTGAGGAGCCAGGGAAGGAGCTGGGGGTGTTCAGTGTGAGGAGGAGGAGGCTGAGGGCTGCCCTCATCCCTCTCTGCAGCTCCTGACAGGACATTGCAGAGAGGCTGGGGCTGGGCTCTGTTCCCAGGGGATCAGGGACAGGACAAGAGGGAACGGCTGGAAACTGCCCCAGGGTCAGGCTGGGCAGGAGGAGAAAATGTTTCCCAGCAAGAGTGGTGCGAGAGTGGAACAGGCTGCCCAGGGAGGGGGGAGTCCCCATCCCTGGGGGGGTTTCAGGGCCGTTGGGATGAGCTGTGGGGGATGTGGGGTAGGGGAGAACTGTGTAGAGTCGGGCTGAGGGTTGGACTCGATGATCCCAAGGGGCTTTTCCAGCCTGAGTGATTCCGGGATTCTGTGGAAGCGATGTGGCTCCCTGAGATCAGCGCTGGCTCGGGCTGCCCTTGGAGGTTTGGGTCTTTTGCAACGTCCTCAAAAGTGTCTCTGCTCACAGATGAGCTGTCAGCTTTTACAACACCCCCTCTGCAGATGCTGACTCTTAACAAAGGACATTTGCATGAGCAGTGATTAACGAATGGGGAAGGGAATAAGCCGTGAAGGTGCAGCCTGAACTGTTGAGGAAGGTCAGGAACTATTAATTAACATCCGGACATTGCTCTGAATTAGAGCTGTGGGAACGGGCTGGATTTGGCCACCTCCCCACTTCTTCCTCCCCTACTAAAAGTGGTAGAGGTCTAATGCAACCACCCAGGGTCCCCCATCTTTTCAGGGCTGCTTTTTTCCAATAGCTCTTCTTTGCATCGGGCTGAGCCACAGTGCTCCATCCCAGTCCCCTCCTGGCCTGGGGGCTGCCATTGCCTCCCCCCCACCAGAGCACCTCGCTGTGCTCGCCCAGTTCACGGCACGCTACGAGAGCACCAGGCCACGGTTTTAAGCAGCACCCAGTGCGTTTGGCTCTCTTCAACATGCTTAGAGAGAGATTTACTGGCTTGCTTTACAGCTCTGCCAGCCCATGGGCTCGTGCTGATTTACATCAGGATCTGCCTTGGCTCTGGGGGGTGCGGAGGCAAATTGGGCTGGCTGGTGCAGAACCTGGATTTTTAGTGTAGTTTTCCTGCCTCTTAAATTGGTGGCAGAAGCTCAGAAGAGCACCTGAGCGATGCTTTCCCTTGGAGGGGGTTGCTTTTTTTGGCCCTGGGCTTTCCCCTGGGAGCAGCTTTCAGGGAGGAGGGGGGTCTGCAGTCAGTGTCCTACATCTTTCAGTGCCCGCCATCCCTCACAGCACTTGACTTTGTCCCTTCTCTCTGCCTGTGTTGCTTGTTCCTTGCCTTCCCTGATATATTTTTTCCCTCTACCCACCCTGGGGTGGATGGAAATAGGACTAACGGGTCTCTGGACCAACTTGAATATTGCTCAGTGACATTTCTAACGTGTAGCAGGGAGATTTCATCCTTGTCCCCGGGCAGGCTCATCCTTAGGGTGCCAAAGTGCTGAGGGAGTCAGAGGGTGGTATGAAGGAGACTCTCACATCGACTGCATAAATGAGATTTTGCTAAGCAGATTAGGGAAAGGTCTCTGGTTCGGTGTAGGGCCCGGGGGAAGACAATGCTGGGCTGGCAGTACAGCCCCTACCTCTCTGGGCCGCTGTTTTTGCTTGGGGTTGAGAGAGTGACCTTCATGGGATATTAGGTTTAATGAGGGATTTTGCGTGATTTAATTAAGATTTATTTGCAATCAGTTGGAGTGCCCTTATTAAGTAAATTCCAGGCCTCGAATAACATGGCCATAAGGTTTTCCAGCCCTGCTTCTTGCCAGGATGCCGTTAAGATGGGGAGAGGGGAGGGGATTAACGAGGAAAGGTTTAAGGTCAGAGCACTGGTGGGAGAGTGTGTGGTGGTTTTGAGAGATGAGCTGGGCCTGTGTCCTGTTCTCAGCCGGCCATGCTTGATCCCAAACCCCCCCAGTTACAGCTGGTACCAGTGAAACCCCTCCTGGAAACACATGCAACGAGTTTATCTGTGAGCCTGGGGGCTCATGCCAGCGTGGGAGCAGCTAGGTGGGGGTTATGCTAGCAAGCCACAGTTGCTGGGGCTGAAAGCCTGTAATTATCCCCAATTGGATTGACTTTCTTGGAGCTGAGCTGTCAAAGCAGAAAGCCCTTTTGGCTCGCTTTGCCCCCTGGCGAGAGTGCAGATGTGACCTGCTGCGGGTGAGAGTGACAGTGAAGAGCCCTATAAACGCCCCTGGGGTGCCCCAGGCGGGTGCAAGACAGGGGGTGATGCACATATCGTGGGTATTTGCAGGAGCTGATGCCGCTCTTGGGTTTCCCTCCTGATTCCCTCCCCAGGGAGAGTGTCGAGTCACGTTTCTCCATGCCTTGATTTACCTGATCTTTAAGAAAATCCACGTCCTCGGCTCCCACAGCGGCGGGCTGCCAGCAGGAGGAGAGCGTGACGCACCGTGCGGGTCCGTCCTTGCGTGTCTGTCACATCCCTTGGATGCTGTTTCGGGGTCAGCTCCCACCCGCTGAGCCCTTGTTAGCGCTGCCCACAAACGAGCGATGCTTCGTGTGCTCTCCCGAGCTTTGGGCTCAAGGAACCTTGAAAAAAACACCCCCCATCCCCACCCTCGGGGGCCCTCCGAAATGCCCAGCTCTCCGGCCGCCCCCGCGTACCGGTGCAGACGCCGGCAGAGCAAAGCCAGCTCCGTTCCCAGCTGCCATCAGAGCCGCCTCGGTGACTCAGCAGCCGTGCTGAAAGCTGCCTTATTTATTTAAACGGCTGCTCCCGCTCGACTGAGCATCTCCTGCAGCGATGCTGCCGCTGGGCCGGCTCCGGCCGCCGCTCGGCGAGGAGGAGAGCGATCCCCAGCACCTCGAACTCCCCGGTTTGCTCTCGACGCGATGGCTCTGACTACCTGGGCTCTCGGTCCTGCGCTGCGGCTCTGTGCCGCCGGCCCTGCTTGCTCTTGGGAGATGCTGCACGTGGCCGGAGCAGGTACCTTTTCTCCAGGGTGCTGGGTTGGATCCCCTGGGAGGGAGAAGCTGCTGTGGCTGCCGGTGACCTTCAGTGTCATTTTTTTAATATTTTAAATACCTCGTGCCAGCCTGGCTGGAGGATTGAATTTTGCAGCTGCGGGGTTTTGTCCTCGGAGCAGGGGGGGGTGTGTGTACGATGCTGCTGGTCGGTGCCTGGCTCCGGGCTGGAGCTGTGGCTGCGATGGTACAAGGTGCATGGGGTCAGTGTGGTGGGTGGTAAAGGAAATCGGTGTCTGGAGGAAGAAATGGCTAGTGGAGATCCTTGTCAGGTAGCCTGGCTGGGGGGGTGTTGCTAGCCACAGGGTTTGGTGCTGTGAGGGTCTCAGGGTGGGGGTAAGGGGTCCCATATAGACCAAACACAGGGCTGGTGTCAGCCCTGGCGTCAGGACCAGACTTGGGTTTGTTGCTCTCTGGAGAGCCCTTAGGGGAGGGGAAATAAAATGCAGAAAAATCTTCCTCTTCCCTTAAGGTCTATGTTATTTTTAGTCTGCTTTTTTAAGGATTTATGGTCTCCCTGTCTGTGCCTGTGTATGTCCAGGCTGGGCAAAACCAAGAGAACACCGGGGTTTGGGGAAGGAAAGTTTCTCTTGGTTTTATGCAGGCAGAGAGACCCTTTTAGTGCCTGCTGCAAGGAGCTCAGCCCTCTTACTAGACATCAGAGAGTCTCCCCTGGAGACGCTGCTCTGTAGGAGGCCCTGTCCTTCTGCTGGGATTCCACCCACCGGTGATCTGATGTGCTGTGGGTTAAGCAACATTCCTGCTTTCCTTGCCTGGACCATCTTCATCCTTCTGCCCCGTGGGGCTAAGGGGGCACCCAGGTCCCCTCTCCTGGGAGGGGCTTCGGGTCTTGTCTCTCTTCCGCTGTTACTTTCTTTAGGCGAGGCCTTAAAAATCTCCTACTTGGGGAAGAAGGGGTTGTGTTAGGTGAGAGAGAAGGCATTAGATTTAATTATGCAATTATTATTGATGGGATCCATGCTGTGTCTGCTCTTCAGCTTCATTCATCAGGATGAGGGTGGTGGATTGGGAACACGACTGAGCTCTTTGCTCCTCTCCCAGGGCTTGGCATGTGCATTAATCTTGAAAATACTCTGAAGTCATATTTCTGGAGGTGAGATAATTACTGCGGGAGGTGGAGGGGACCTGGCTTCCTGGCTAAGGAGATTGTTTACAGGGAAACTCTCCAGCTGTTCTGCAGGGAGAGCGCGTGGCCCGCGCTGAGACGCCGGCAGGGACGCGTGGCCCGGCGAGGTGAGATAAGTCACGCTGCCTCGGCTGTCCCGGGCGAGGGGAATTTATTAAGAGGATTCAGGAGATCATCAAACGCTTGTTTGTGCGGATGGCAAAGGAGAATTTATTAAGAGGCCAGATTAAAGGTACTTTGGAAAAAGAGCAAAATCGATTGAAGGCAGCTGAGAGGGGAGGAGGGAGAGCGACAGATACGAGACTTAGAAATGGAATATGGGATGGCGAGAAGGTGCGGGGGGGGTTGCAGGGAGAGCACGAGAGCTGGAAGGAGCTTCCTACCACGGCAGTGTTGCTGGGAGTTCTGGGCCTGGGGACCCCAAAGGGGACCCTGAAGCAAGTGTCAGATTTCACAGAATCCCGGAATACTTCAGGCTGGAAAAGCCCCTCGGGATCATCGAGTCCAACCCTCAGCCCGACTCTACAAAGTTCTCCCCTACCCCACATCCCCCACAGCTCATCCCAACGGCCCTGAAACCCCCCCAGGGATGGGGACTGCCCCCTCCCTGGGCAGCCTGTTCCACTCTCTGACCACTCTTTGTGGGAAACATTTTTTCCGGTGGGGCGCAGGCTGCCCGCCGCCGTCAGAGGCGATGCGCTGGGGAAGCAAGCGGGCACGTTGCAGGAAGCGAGCGGTGCCAGCGCCGGGAGCTGGCACGAAGCAGGCCTGAGCTCATGCGTTCCAGCGGGAGCGGTTGCCGGCTCCTGCCGGCGCAGCCGTTGTGTCCCCCCTCATCCCTCCTCCCCCAGCTTCTAGTTCTCGGTGGCAGTTGCCAAAAAGCAGCCCCGAATTACTCACGCTTGCCTGGGGCCCTCAAAGGCCAGTGCTTTGGGGGGGGGGGGTGACACCAGTCTGCTCCGTGGGGTGCAGCATCTGAGTAACGCCAGGCCCTGGGGAAAAAATGCATTTTTGTGCTGGAGAAAGGGGATCCTGGCGTGCAAAGCTCTCACAGAGGTACTGAGGAGGGTAGAGTGTCCAGCAATCTCTTTTAAAATTTTTTTTTCCTCCCTTTTTTAAAATAAACTCTGCAGATATTCATCAGGAGCTGGGTGGCAGGCAGTGCTGGTACAGCTTTATGCAGGTGGATGGGCTTCAACCAGGGCAAGTGCCAGGTCCTGCACTTGGGCCACAACCACCCCCTGCATGGCTATGGGCTCAGGGAGGGGTGGCTGGAGCTGTCTGGGAGAGAAGGGTCTGGGGGTTCTCACTGACCAGCGGCTAAACAGGAGCCAGCAGTGTGCCCGGGTGGCCAAGAAAGCCAACGGCCTCCTGGCTTGGATTGGAACTAGTGTGAGCAGCAGGAGCAGGGAGGTGACAGTCCCCTGTGCTCGGCACTGGTGAGGCCACACCTGGAGGGTTGTGTCCAGGTCTGGGCACCTCAATCCCAGAGAGATCTGGAGGGGCTGGAGCGAGGGCAGAGGAGGGCAGCGAGGCTGGGGAAGGGCTGGAGAATCAATCCTGTGAGGAGCCAGGGAAGGAGCTGGGAGTGTTCAGTGTGAGGAGGAGGAGGCTGAGGGGAGCCCTCATCCCTCTCTGCAGCTCCTGACAGGACATTGCAGAGAGGCTGGGGCTGGGCTCTGCTCCCAGGGGATCAGGGACAGGACAAGAGGGAACGGCTGGAAACTGCCCCAGGGGAGGGTCAGGCTGGGCAGGAGGAGAAAATGTTTCCCAGCAAGAGTGGTGCGAGAGTGGAACAGGCTGCCCAGGGAGGGGGGAGTCCCCATCCCTGGGGGGGTTTCAGGGCCGTTGGGATGAGCTGTGGGGGATGTGGGGTAGGGGAGAACTTTGTAGAGTCGGGCTGAGGGTTGGACTCAATGATCTCCAGCCTGAGTGATTCTGGGATCCTGTGTATCAGGGTAGCAGTGCCCACGGCTGAACTAGCTGGTGCCTCAGCCATCCTCACGCTTGGTGCATGCGGGAGCACAATGGGTGCTCGAGAACCCACCCGCACCACCGACCGTCCCCGAGCCGAAGACAGGGTGATCTCTGGCTGCTGCGGAGGGTGTGCTGCGGCCCTGAGAAACAGGATATATCACAGGGAGAAATATCCATGTTTCAAATGATCCTTTCCTCTCTTGGCAACTCCCTGAAAGCAGAGCAGGTCATTGCAGCCCCTGGGATATTTGGTAGTTAGAGCTGATCGCTTTGCTCTGGGTTGGATGTGCCCAGTGTTCTCCGTTCGCTGGCCTGCGGAGTTGCTGCTGCAAGGGGTTTTGGCTCTCAGAGAGGCTGTGCAGGGTACGGTTTGTGCATCAGGGACAAGCTGCCTTCACGTCTGAGGCCTCTCAAAAAGAGGAACTGGAGATGGTTGTGTCCTGCGAAGCACAAGTCACTCGGTTGCCCCCCTTGGGGGAGAGGGACCACGGTCTGGCAGCCCAGAGGTAGGAGGGTAGTTGAAGGTGTTTGGTGTTGCTCAACAGCTCAGCTTTGGAGCCACAAACAGGAAAATGCATTTTCCTCTCATAGCCTTCACAAGATGCTCTTTTCCTGTCTCGCTGTCTCCAGCAGTCTGTGCTCTCTTATTGCTGCTGACTCCGTGGGGAGCGTGGAGCAGCGTGTGAGGACCGTGTCCTCGGGTGAGTACTTGGAGGAAAGAGCTCTTGGTCTGAGGACCTGCAAAAGATAGAGAGGCACAGATTCAGGGGAACTTCGGATATCTTGGTCTCTGGGGGCTGCTTTCTTGGGTGAGAAAAGCAGATAACCCTGCAGTCCTACGTCAAATGATGCTGGTCACCAGCCAATTCCCTGCCTCTCGGCTGCGGTTTTCTTCCCTTAGTTTTTTTTGGCTGCAAAACTCTGGGATGTCGTCAGCTTGGTGCCCTGTCCTCTTTCCCACTGAATCCAAGGATATGTTTGCCCAGGGGCTGAGGATTTTGTCCCTGCTGACCGGCTCTGTCTCCTCTCTTCCAGGTGTGTGTGGCTGCTGCGGCGCCCTGCGTCCCCGCTACAAAAGACTCGTCGACAACATCTTCCCTGAGGACCCAGAGGTAAACGAGACACTGTTTCACCTGTCAAAGCTCCGGTGCTTCACTCACCAGAGCTCCAGTGCTGAGGTTGCAGGGACACGGTGTGACCTGCCCAGAAACAGCTCCTGGGAGGCGGGCGATGCTTTTTGACTCCATACCACTGTGCCTGGAGGGTTGGATTTTCCTTTCAAACCTGTTTGCGAGCGGAAATACAGAAGCAGTTCCTTCAGCTGCATCGGCCTGGAGGGACAAACTTCCTTTTCCAAAGGCGCCAGGCAGATTTGGAGGATGGATGGATGGATGGATGGATGGGAGGATGGGGGGGCTGGACCTGAAGGTGTACCCCCTTCTCTTTGTAGGATAAGGAAAGTAGCTTCTAAGAGCGGGAGTCTCTTGGGGCCTCAGCCAGGGTTTTGAGCTCAAAAGCTGCTCATGGTTCCAGGAAGCAGGGAAGCTGGTGCCCTTCTTGCTGCCTCACTGAATTGGAGGAGTGGGATGCCCTGCCAGCTGTTCCTGGAGCATCCCAAATCCGGCCTCTTTGTCTCCTTTTCACAGCTGAGATGAGAAGGCAGTGGAAGAGGGGCTCCTGACCGGGGGTAGCGGGCCTGGGATTACCCGGGGAGGTGGTGAGCGCCTGTTTTGTCATGGTGCTGGCAGCAAAGCTGAAAAAGAACGGAGGCTGCTACCAAGCCATGCAGAGAGGAGGAAGCCCTGGAGTTTTCCAGGCTGCAGTGGATTGGGGCTGGCATCTTGGCACGCATGTGTCATTTGGCCTCTGTACCCTGGAGGTGTTGATGTCCCTGTCTTCCCCTGTCTTCCTTGGTGCTGGGGCATTGCTAGGGCCTGGCAAGCAGTTCTCATTGTATTTACAGCCTGAGGTGCTCGATGGAGGCTTCCACGGGGGTCACCTCTGGCTGTGGTGCATCAGCGAGCCCTCAGCTGAGGGTAAATGCAACCCTCATTTGCCTTCCCTGATGTACGAGGTGTGGGGAAGAGCTGGGACAGGACTGGTGTGCTCCAGACCTCTGGCAAGGTTTGCTACAGAGATACTCCTGATATTTACTGGGTCTGAGGCAGTGACCCCCTGTGTTGTTCGCTTTCAGGATGGGTTGGTGAAGACCAACATGGAGAAGCTGACATTTTATGCCCTGTCTGCCCCGGAGAAGCTGGATCGCATCGGCGCTTACCTCTCTGAGCGGCTGATCCGAGACGTGAGCCGGCACCGATATGGGTAAGGACTGGGAGGCTCTTTAAGCCGCCCCAGTGATTTGCATAATGATAGACCACTAGAGGGTAGAGGGGGCTCAGGCAACGGGTGGGACACGTGGGAAACGCAGCTCCTGTGTGCTCCAAGCTGTCTTGAAGCTGCAGAGGGACCCGAGCATGTCCTGCCTCTGCAAGTGAGACACAGAAGCATGCAGGGATGTGCAGACTCCTTGCAAAGTTTCAAGGAACCAGGCAAGTTCAGAGCCACTTGGTGTTTCCCTGGCATTGTGCTGTCCATGTTTGAGGAATCTGCATGTGTATGGTGTTTGTCCCCAGCAGCAGGACTGCCATCATCCCTCTGGGCCATCATCAGGAGCCTGTGGCACCCTCCTGGCCTTTACAGCCCACGGTGGGCTCTTCCAGAGCCAGAGGGAAGCCTGGTTAGGTGTGGGCAAGCAATTAAACAGGGTGGCCCAGGCTGCAGTTTGCAAGGTTGGGGGTGTTGCACCCCATTTCTCTTGAGCTATGGTGACCTGGCAGAAGTGGGAGCAAGGATGCGGGGCAGCACACTGATGATTTCCAGTCAGTTCATGATGGGGATGCACTGGGCTCGATGGGGATTGCTGTGTTGCAGAGGAGGGCAGCGAGGCTGGGGAAGGGCTGGAGAATCAATCCTGTGAGGAGCCAGGGAAGGAGCTGGGAGTGTTCAGTGTGAGGAGGAGGAGGCTGAGGGGAGCCCTCATCCCTCTCTGCAGCTCCTGACAGGACATTGCAGAGAGGCTGGGGCTGGGCTCTGCTCCCAGGGGATCAGGGACAGGACAAGAGGGAACGGCTGGAAACTGCCCCAGGGGAGGGTCAGGCTGGGCAGGAGGAGAAAATGTTTCCCAGCAAGAGTGGTCCGAGAGTGGAACAGGCTGCCCAGGGAGGGGGGAGTCCCCACCCCTGGGGGGGTTTCAGGGCCGTTGGGATGAGCTGTGGGGGATGTGGGGTAGGGGAAAACTTGTTAGAGTCGGGCTGAGGGTTGGACTCGCTGATCCCGAGGGGCTTTTCCAACCTGAATGGTTCTGGGATTCTGTTTGCTCTGTCCCACTTACCTGCGTGGTCCTGGCTGGGCCCCATCCCTTCGTCTTCCCTCCCCACATCGTTTCCAGCAAGGCTTTGCTGTGTTTACTTGAAGGAGAGCAGCGCCCGCCTGGAAATAGCTGACTGCCCTGATTAGAAACGTGGGGAGAGCATGGGGGAGCTCCTTCCCTTTCACATAACTCCTGGATTGATCCTTGTTGTCTCCTGAACAAAGCTGTGCCAGACAAACACGGCTCAGCTTCGTGGTGCGAACTTCAGCCCGCCTTTTATCCTGGGGGAAGAGAAGCCAGCAGCCTGCCTAAGAAGTGTTAAAGTTGGAAAACCTTCAAAGCCTCATCCGCATCACCTGTCATCGGGAGTGACAGGACATTCAAAGCTCTGCCTGATGTTCTGTGGTGAAGGGGCTGTTAACAGGCTCTGCTTGCTACGCTGGGAAAAGAAAGGCTTTCAAAGATTTTTGACATCTAATGACAAGCCTCAGCAGTTGGGGGGGGGGGAATACATTCCTTCCTCCACCGCCTGTGCATACAGGCACGTAATTGGGTTGGAGCACTAGCTAATTTTCAAAGTCTTAACTTTGAAATGCCTGAAATGGGTTTGGATCAGCCTTGCGTTTGTAGGTCGGTGTTGGCTGGAGTGGAAGGATTTGCCCCGCTGCAGACACGCAGCCGGGCTTTGAAAGAGCAGCCGAGCATGTAGGTACCTGTCTCCTGCGTGTAAGATGAAAGTAGCCTTGATTTCGGGCCTGTTGGGTGTCATCTTTACATTACCTTTATTGCTAAAAGGAGAAAGTGCTCTGGTTTGAGTTTGCAACAATGCAACCCATCCTCTGTAAGAGGATGGTTGGGGCGGGTTGGAGGTGACAATCTCACATGTGTCCCTTCTCTCTCTTGGTGTCCTGTGTCCAGTTGTCCCCAAAAGAGAAGCTATGCTGTTGCAGTAATATTGGCGCAGAATGTTGTTTTCAGCCTCGTTTCCTACGAGAAAGGAGCTTGATGCTTCATGCTGATTGTCAGTTGCGTCTTCATACTTCTTTTTTTTCTTTTTTTTCCCCTCTGGGCCAGTTTTAACCCAGTTTGACAGATGGGTAGGAGCCTCACAGATCAGGAATAGTTGGCTGCTTATTTTCGCAGTACCTGAGGAGCTGTGATGGTGTCTGAAGGACAGGCTGCAGTGCGAGCTCAACTATGTCACAGGACACCAGAGAATCTACTCAAGGCTGGAGCCATATTTCAACAGTTCTGGGGCCTCAGGAGAAGGGATCAATCTTTCTGTGTTTTAATGGCTGGAACCTGGAAGTCCAGGGTTTATCAAACACCTTGAAAAATGGAGGCTAAAGGAGGAATCGTGCTCAATATCAAGAGGTCTGGGCTTGCTGCTTCCTTCTTTTGGCTATGGCAGGAGATCTGGGCACGATGTGAGCTGCTGTGGTACAAAGATTCACAGCTGTGTGGAGAGCAGCAGTCAAAGGGAGGTGGAAAGGAGCTATAAAGTTTTTTTTTTTTACTCCCAGTGTCCTGGTCCCACGTCTGTGTCCACTGTTTGGGTACCACAGACATCCTGAAAGAAGAGCTGGAGCTGTGAGGCTTGCTGCAATCAACGTTTAGTTTTTTTCTGTGTTTTGGCCAACTCTAGCTGAAACAAATATCTGCTCAGAGCACTCAGAGGCTGGGGTTTGCTTCTCCACTGGGCTTTATGCACACCCTGAATGACCAGCAGGTGGAAGTCAGTGTGGCCATTCCCCCCATCCAGGGGCTCTGGCCACCACATTGGTAATGAACCAGCTGCAGAAAGCACCACAGGACCAGCCTAGGGACAGGCTTTGACAGAGCTGCTCAGAGAATCAGGTCCAATTTGTCTTGGAAAAGTGAAGCAACACCCAACAAATTCTTCAGCTGCAGCTGAAGGAGCTGGTCACCTCTCTAACGGGCACCCGAATGAGATGTATCGCTGGGCACAAGGTTTTCCAGCTTCCTCTCAGAGGCAGGAGCATTGCAGGGCTGGTTTAAAAAGTAGCCTGTGGAAGATGTGCTGTGGCAGCCTGCAGCGAAGCCAGAGGGTGGTCTGTGAGCTCAGCTTGGGTGGGAGGGAAGCTGAAGGGATGGGACGTGCTCAGGGAGATCCCCTGTGCAGCTCAGGGACCTGTCATGGGTGCTGCCCCCTCTGAATCAGGTTCTGGGCTTTCCCTGTTCAGCATGCAGAGCCGAGTGAGTGGCTGAGCCCTGTCCCTGCAGAGACAGGGAACGAGGTAATCCTGGTGTGAGTGATGCTGTGTCCTGGCCTGTGCACTGCTGGAGGAAACCCTGCTCACCCCGGGAGTTTTGGGGGTGATGTCAATGCTTTGCAGGGTTGTTTTAGTGTTTATTTAAACCCGGCTTTTCTGGAGCACATCAGTCTGATTCTGGGTTGTCCTCCTGTCTGGCCAGGACCAGCTGGGTCTGCAAGAATAGTTGCCTGTGATGCTGAGCCCCCCCCTGTACAAAGCCCAGTGCTCCCTCGTGCCAGTTTTGGGCTGCCCAGGGCAGGGGGGAGTCCCCGGGATCCCTGGAGGGGTTGAAGAGTCGGGCTGAGCCAGCGCTGAGGGATCTGGGGGAGTTGGGAACGGTCAGGGGGAGGGTCATGGTTGGGCTGGAGGAGCTGCAAGGGCTTTTCCAACCCGGATGATTCTGATTCTGTGACTGCTGTCCATGCACTGTCCCTGCTGTTTGCTGTCTGTGACCAGTCACTGGTTTCTGATCTGCCGTGCCGTGCCTTCCCTCTCTTGAATTCAGCTTTTCCTAAACGAGCCTGAGGACATGGGGCCTGTCAGCAGTTTCGGACAATAGACCAACTTAGGAGGTGATCCCCATGGATTTTGGGAGCTATTTGTGCTCAGAAAAGGGCTGACTTCAATAGAGCTGCTGCTTGCAATAAATGGCTTAGCTGGACTGGGGATGTGTTGGTCACAGACATAAAGTGAGGGGAAAGGAGAAGCACGGATGAACAAAGGTGACGTCCTCCCAGCATCCAAACTGCTGATCCTGCCGGGCAGCCGGCAGCCTCTTCTGCCTGGCCTATTCGCTGGTTTTTACTGGGAACACTGGGTGTACCTAACACCCAAGCTTGCGAGGGCCCTGCCAGTGCCTGGTAGCTTGGCTCGGACAAGGAGTATCTGTCCTTGCTGGTTTTTAAGAGCGGGGTTTAGAGGGAGCTGATCATCCTGTGGGCAGGAGGATGGGCTGGGTAGATGCTCTCTCAAGCGCCTGGAAAACACAAAGCCAGCTCAGCCCTGAGCTTACATCCTTTGCTGTGTGTGACGGGGAGAGGGACGGTATTAATGGTTCTGCTGACACCTCCCGGACAGGGTAGTGCTGCGTCCCGCGATGCTTCTCTCCTCCACGGCCCTGGACACAGGGTTGTAAATGCCTCTGCTGAGGCGTGGGCAGGAGCGGAGACTTTCCATCCCCCTGTTCTCCCTCACAGCTAATCGTGCCCAGGTGAAAATGATGTGAGCTTCCCCATCACATGTTAATCCCCAGCCCTTGGAGAAGCGGCAGGATTGATCCCTCGGTTGAAACTCGCTGCCGACAGCAGTTTACCGTGGGGTTTCGGTGAGGGGATGCTGCAGGGGCTGCCTGCGAAAGCCCCTTGCACTGGGAGTGGGGTCTCCGCACCCACATCCCTCTGCCCCAGGGTGGCCCGAGCTCCATGGGAGACCGGAGAGGTGCTGCTTGCTGTTCAAACCTCTTGAGACGTGGTGGGGCTGCCTGGATCCATCCCAGTGACAGGCAGCTGGGTCTCTTGTGAAGAAGTCACGTTGTGTCGCGGTGCAGCCCTGCCCGCAAGCCCATGGGATACCCCTTGAGCTGTTTGGGAAAGGCAGGGGTTGTTCCAGGGTCTGGAGGGAGGGTTTAAAGCTCAGCTCAGCCTGCGTCTCCATATCGGTGGCTGCTTTACCTCGGGGCCTGATGCGGGGCTCCTCGGAGAGGCTGCTGGCACGTGGCATGGAGCTGCGCCTCAACGGGGAGGGAACGGCCCTCGATCGCAGGGGGCTCCCGGTGCCACAGCAGAGGTTTCAGAGAACTGACCCCACCACAGACATCCTCGAGTGGGAGGCACTGAGTCAAAGCAACCAGAGCTCTGCCTCGTGTTCCCTGCCCCTGCGGAGCAAACCTCCCGTGTTCAGGCAGCCCTGGAGACACTGGAACAGGCTGCCCAGGGAGGGGGGAGTCCCCATCCCTGGGGGGGTTTCAGGGCCGTTGGGATGAGCTGTGGGGGATGTGGGGTAGGGGAGAACTTTGTAGAGTCGGGCTGAGGGTTGGACTCGATGATCCCGAGGGGCTTTTCCAACCTGAGTGATTCTGGGATTCTGAGAGGAGAGATGGTCCTGGACCATGGATAGGTGTTTCCTTAGCGCTGCTCTTGCTGTCGTCAAGAATGAGGAGCGGGTGTTTTAATGAGGAGTCCAGCTCAGGAATGACGGTTTAGCGATGCTTTTTTTTTTTTTTTTTTTTTTTCCTTCTCAAGCGTGGCAGCATTCAGAGGGCAAATAGCACAGAAAACTCGTCTTCTATAGAAAAGTGAGTAATGATAATGAGACACTTCTTCCTATATCTGCTAATGAGGAATGTGCCTCAGGCTCGTGCTTAATTAGAGGGTGCTGTCTCAAGCAATCTTCACAATAAGGGAGCTGATGGCAAAGGCGGGAGGAGGTTGTTTATAGAAACCTGCTCCAAGTGAGTCATTCTCCGCGGCATGAAATCTCGCCTGAGACACGGCTCCCTCCTCGCGCAGAGCCAAGGTGTCGCGCTGCGGAGGGGCTGATCCCCAGGGCCGCAGCGCTGGAGGCGGCAGCAAAAATCCAGCGTCCTGTGATCGCTGTGACCCCATCCTATAATCCCCGGGGTGAACATATGGAGCCGCAGCTTAAATCCACTTCGGTTTCTCATTCTTGGTAGGAGGCTGCTGGGCAACCTCCCCGCTTTGGGTAGGAACCATCTAATTTCCAGCTCGATGTCATTCCCATTTTATTTTTCTTTGAACCAGCATTGATCTTTCATTTAAACAGCTCTTCCCCCGCCTTGATGTTTCTCTCCTGATGTATTTATGTCGGATATATTTATAGGTGGCAGTGTTATCCCTTCCCAGCCGTTGTTTATCTTCTCCAAGGCAGCCACACTCCTTGCATTTCCCCTGCGCTTGCTCCGGGCTCATCCCAGCCGTGTTTCAGGTGGATCTTGTCGTCTTCTCGCATGGGAACCCCAAGCTCCCTAGCCCCGCACCCCTTCAAACCACAGCAGAAAGTGTTTCATTTCAGTGTTTTTAAACTGTTTTCTCAGTGGAAATACGGTGTGAAGCTGCAGAGCAGCGTTTCGGCTGGGATGCGGTGCCTGTCGGTGAAAATAAGTTGCTTTCCCTGAAGAACTGATGCCTCCTTTCCTGCTGGTCCAGCTCTTGCTGGGTCATTTCCCTGTGTCCTGGTGCTGCTTTTTGCTGTCGGGCACAGATTGGCAGTGGGACTGTGGAGGGCATCTCCTGTCATTGCTGCATTCTTGTAGGGGCAGCCAAGTCCTGGAAAAATGCAATAGTCTGTGAGCAAGTGGCAGAGTCCTCAAAATGTCCCATAGATGGAGGAGGGAGAGGCTTTGAGGCTGATTTTTTTTGTTGTTGTTGTTCTTGTCTTCTTTTTTACAAGTTTTGGCCTTGTTGGAGGCTGCAGGCTAAAACTGGATGCAGAGAGGGCAGCTGCCTCCAGTGGTTGGCAGATGTGAACACTGTGCCACAGCCAGTGTCACCGGGCATGGTGGCAGCACCTGGTAAAGCCTGTCCCTCCTGAGGACAGAGGTGGGCAGGGCTGCCTGTGCCTGGTGCCCGGCCGGGAGGATGCCCACGGGGCAGGGAGCTGAACCACGGCTGCTGCTGGTGTGGATGGGTGGCCTGGCAGTCCCTGGGGCCTCGGTGCCTTCAGAATCCCGAATGAGGTGATCCTGTTCGGTTGCCTGATGACACAGAATGAGCTGCCATCCTCCACGTGGCTGTGGGATTGATACCTGCAGGTACTGGCTGCAGAGAAGCCGTTTCTTTCTTTTATTTCACAAGGCTTCTCGGCCACGGGACGCTTGGGACGGCTCTCCGGGAGCTGCCGCGGGGAGCCCCGCTACTGCTCACTCTGCATTCTGCCCTCGTCTCCGGTGGCACATGGAGTTGCCATGAGCTTAAAAAACCCACTTTGTGCACTGCCTGGTACAGAGGTTTCTTGCATAACAGCCCTGCATTTTTCTGGTGAGTAAGAGGAGTTTATCAGTTGGAGCCAGTCCCTGCACTCTGGGAACAGTTCCTGACGGGGCTGAGCCGTCTCCTTTGCTTGCACAGAGCCAGGCTTTGCAGCTGACGTTATTAATAGCCCGGTGCAGCGGGTGCATGCTGATCAGCGCCTGTGTGATGCGCTGGGACGGGCGGGCTGGCTTTGCCAGCTGTGGGAGGGCACCGGTGTGCTGCTTTCCTCGCAGGGCTGGATGCCAGGAAATGCAGAAAGCAAGAAATGAGAAAAGCCGGCGGGTAGGGTTGGGGTAAAGCAGGAACTCCTGTGCAGTGTGGCATCTCCCAGAGGGTGCTGAGCACCCTAAGAAATGTTGGGTGGACGAGTAAGCCCTTGGAGAGGTAGGTTAGGTGTCCTCCCAGCTGGAAGAGGAGCCCAGCAGTCTGGATGCCTTGGCCCAGGATGGTTTGCCCGAGCGATGTGGGGTCGCTCGGTGCGACCTCAGAGCTTTGTGTCACTCAGCAACGGGGCCGCGCCGGTGCTGGCACCACATCGTTGCTCTCCCAGTTCTCCTGGGTAGCAGTGAACAGTGGGGGGTGGTTTGGGGGGTCGCTCGGGACAGGGAACATCCTCTCCCTTCATCGCAAACGTGCCAACGGTCTCAGCTTTCCCAGCGTGCCGAAGTGAGTGCAGCGCAGGAGCACAACAGCAGTCAGCAGATTTCTTTGCCGAAAATCTTGGCAAGCAGCTGTTTATGCCCTTGCTCTGAGTGGGAGGATAAAGCACAGGGACTTAGTAGAACGATGCTTATCCCAGGCTGAGGATAAACCTTGTCCGTTCACAGCACCAGGAGCAGTTGGGTGGATACAGGCTGAATGCTCTGTATGTTCCAGCCAGGAGCTGATGTCTTGGATTTTGTGGCAGCTTTTGTGCTATTAAGGTTTTATTTAATTTATTTTTTCCTCTTTTAAAGCTACCCCTTTCAGCATGACTGGAAGAGTTGAGGTTCCCCTTTCCTGCCTGATATTTGTTCACATCTCTTCATGAATAAGTGTCGGAATTAATGAGGAAAGCTTGAAAACGTGTTTATCCTTTATTCCTCCTTAATTCTCTCCCTGAAAGCTTAAAAACCAGATCTGCTGGTCAGCTGGCATTCCTGGCAAGCTCTGTGCCTGTTGGGGTGGCCACGCTGGAAGGGAGTGATGGGACCTCATGCTGCTGGGTGCTGCGGGCAAGATTTGGGATGTGGTTAAGAACCCACTTGCAGTTGGTTTCTCCACTGGCATTTCCAAGGCTGTTTTCAACCCTCCAGCAGCATTTGGGAAATGTTGGCCGGGTTTTGCACCGTCTGGGAGGATGGAAAGAAGCTGGGAGCAAATTTAGCTCCTGTTACTAGTGTGTGCTGCATATGAGGGATCCCTAACTCAGAGCTGCACCCCTAAATGCCCTTTACAGGGACCACTGGGGTTTGCAGTGAGGTTTGCAGTATCCACAACCGGGCCTGGGTGCTGCTGGAGCTCGGTGGGGCCGTTCCTGCGTGGGGACCCTGTGTCCTGGGTGCAGCCGGGCAGCCTGACTCGTTACCCCGGGCACACACCAAGCTGCCTGTGTTACACTGCTGAAGCCCGCAAATGTTTTGCTGGTTTGGGGAGGAATTTTAAGAATTATTTATTTTTTTTTTATTGTCGTGCCCTTTTTTCTTCTCTCCCAGTTTGTCAAGTTTGCCAACATCGAAGAGGACACCCCGTCTTATCACCGCAGCTACGACTTCTTTGTCTCCCGCTTCAGTGAGATGTGCCACTCCAGCCACGACGACCTCGACATCCGGACGAAGTGAGTGCCACGAACACGGCGCCTGGGGGGCTCCCCTGTGCTCCCAGGCTCTGCTTTTCCTGGAGAAGCGCTGGCTTTTGGGGACAGGTTGGATGCAGGCTCTACAGATCGACTGCTTTGTGCTGTGATGGAGGTGCGCGGTGATTCCTCAGAGCTGGAGGCACTCGGGCTGCTCTTCTCTACCCTCCCTTATTTTTTTTCAAGCGTTAATCCCTGCTGACTGTACGGGAGGAGGAAACAGGAGCCTAGAAAACACAGCACAGCCCACATCCAGCCTCTTGCTGTGGGGGATATTGTGTGCACTATTACTCGTGTGAGAGAGAAGTTGATTTGCATTTGCTGCCCTGAGAGCAGGGCAGCATGACCATGACCGTGGCTGATGACAGGACAAGGGACAAACCTGCCTTCGGGCTTTCAGCATCTTTTCTTTGGCCAAAATGTCAGCGGGTAACACCTGCAGTCCCAGGGCTGCCTCTGTGCATCTTTAAGCGTTTCTCATGTTTGCTCCAGGCCCACGGCCTGCAGACAGCTGGAGCTCAGAGCAGGAGGTAGGGGAGTTATCCTGGCCCTTAAAGGAAGGAGGATGATGATGGGAAGAGCCCCCCTCCCTCTTAGCAGAACAAATATTCACTCCAAAACTGCCTCCTGCAGCCACACGGTCTGTTATTTTTCCACATTTAAAGGGGGTTACGTCTCTCTAGACAGCGTTGAGGACTGACTTGCTTTGTTGTGATGGGAAATGTACCCCGGGGGGATTAATTACTGCTAAAGCAGACAGATTAATGTTGCTTACTGCTGCCAAGGCCAGGCCTGGCGGTGGTGTATTTAAAAAGACCTGGCACTTGAAATGTCCCCGTGAGGCACCTGTGGCTCTCGCTGAGAAGCTCTGGGCAGGAGGCCACTGCTGCCAGAGACAAGTTTGAAGTAGATTCCCCCATGTCAGGCAGCATTTGAGCACATCGTGTTGATGCTGTTCCCAAAGCTGCTCTACCAGGGAGCGGCTGCCTTGAGGAGGGCTTAACCCCTGAGTTTTGCTGTTCCTCATGGAGGCTTGTTTCCAAGGGCCAGGCTTGACTCCTTTTAACACTGCAGACTCACAGGTTGGTTTTTGGTTTTTTTCCTTAATAAGGAAGCAGTGTGGAAGGCTCATTATTTTCACTTAACCTTCAGGCCACCAGTGACGCTGGCTAAATTGCGTTGGAGACTGGGAGAGAGAAATTCTGTAGCTCCTGTAATTAAAAAGGACTGCACTGCTTTCCTGGGCCCTTGGTCTGGGTCAAAGCTCCTTCTTCCTCAAGAATTGTGTCTTGGTCAGATTATTGCTTTGGTTAGATCTGCTGAATGTGTTAGGGAGATCTCAGAGGAGGTTATTTAATGCATTGATTTCTGCAGATAAGCACGTGTTATCTTTCTCGGGCATTAGCAGTGGGTGGTGAGGGGCTGGTTTCAGACCTGTGAATCTTGCTGTGTAGTGAAATTTTTATTGATGACTTTATCGACTAGAGCAGAGTCGGGATCTTTGGGCCCAGAAATGATGTAGGTGACAAAAAGCACCTAGATTTCCCTAACATCCAGCATCCCCATGGGTGCAGCTCGGCTCAGTCACTGCTGGGAATGGGGGAAATGGGAAAACCCTCCATGCATGCCCCAGCCGGAGGATGGAGACTTCCCAGGGCCAAAACCAGTCCTTCAGAGAGGTCAGAATTACCAGTGCCACCTCTCCATCGTGGAAAGTGCATGCCATGGAGCTGTGTGGCTGCTGCTGGCCCCGGGGCCTCCTGGATGGGAGCCAGCTGCTGCTGCCAGGATGATTTTCAAAGCCTTCCCTGCTCGTCTCTGTTGGGCTGCGGGAAGCCACAGGAGGATTGTCCTGGAGTACACCAGGCCTGGGGCTGGGGTGGAGAGCAGACCTGAGGAGGGGGACTTGGGGGTCTTGGTTGATGAGAAGCTCAACATGACCCGGCCAGAAGGCCACCTGTGTGCTGGGCTGCACCCAGAGCAGGGTGGGCAGCAGGGCCAGGGGGGGATTCTCCCCCTCTGCTCCGCTCTGGGAGACCCCCCTGCAGGGCTGGGTCCAGCTCTGGGGCACCAACAGCAGAAGGACATGGAGATGCTGGGGAGTCTGGAGCCCCCCCTGTAAGGACAGGCTGGGAGAGTTGGGGGGTTCAGCTGGAGAAGAGAAGGCTCTGGGGAGACCTTAGAGTGGCCCCCCAGGGCTGAAAGGGGCTGCAGGAAAGGGGGGGGGACGACTCTGGGTCAGGAGGGAGGGATAGGACAAAGGGTCGTGGTTTTAAATTGGCAGAGGGGAGATTTAGGTGAGATCTGAGGCAGAAATTGTTCCCTGTGAGGGGGGTGAGGCCCTGGCACAGGCTGCCCAGAGAAGCTGTGGCTGCCCCCTCCCTGGAAGGGCTCAAGGCCAGGTTGGACGGGGCTTTGGGCAACCTGGGCTGGTGGAAGGTGGCCCTGCCCGGGGCAGGGGAGTGGGACTGATGATCTTTAAGGTCCCTTCCAACACAAACCATTCTGTGATTCTGTAACTGGAACATTGCCTGTATGACCCCCTCCAGCCACACAGAAATCAGTGTCTTCTCTCCAACTTCTTGCAGTTTCACTTGTGTATATGTGTGTGTATATAAATGTAAAATAACGTATGCTGTATAGATATTTACTGTTTTGGTGTCAATTTGTTCCCCAGGATCCGGATGTCCGGCATCAAAGGCCTGCAAGGAGTGGTGAGGAAGACGGTGAATGATGAACTCCAAGCCAACATCTGGGACCCACAGCACATGGACAAAATTGTGCCCTCGCTGCTCTTCAACTTACAGCATGTGGAGGAGGCTGAAAGGTGAGTGTTTGCTGCTGCCACCACTCACCTTCTCCCCTGAAGCCACTGGTGGCCTGGGGCTGCTTTAAATGCCAAAGTTTTGCAGGGCAGAGGTGTTGCAGGCTGATTTGTGCCTGCAGCTTGTGAAAATGGACAGAGTGGGCAGAGAGGAAACAGAATCTCAGAATCACTCAGGCTGGAAAAGCCCCTCGGGATCATCGAGTCCAACCCTCAGCCCGACTCTACACAGTTCTCCCCTACCCCACATCCCCCACAGCTCATCCCAACGGCCCTGAAACCCCCCCAGGGATGGGGACTCCCCCCTCCCTGGGCAGCCTGTTCCACTCTCGGACCACTCTTGCTGGGAAACATTTTCTCCTCCTGCCCAGCCTGACCCTCCCCTGGGGCAGTTTCCAGCCGTTCCCTCTTGTCCTGTCCCTGATCCCCTGGGAGCAGAGCCCAGCCCCAGCCTCTCTGCAATGTCCTGTCAGGAGCTGCAGAGAGGGATGAGGGCTCCCCTCAGCCTCCTCCTCCTCACACTGCACACTCCCAGCTCCTTCCCTGGCTCCTCACAGGATTGATTCTCCAGCCCTTCCCCAGCCTCGCTGCCCTCCTCTGCCCTCGCTCCAGCCCCTCCAGATCTCTCTGGGATTGAGGTGCCCAGACCTGGACACAACCCTCCAGGTGTGGCCTCACCAGTGCCGAGCACAGGGGACTGTCACCTCCCTGCTCCTGCTGCTCACACTAGTTCTAATCCAAGCCAGGAGGCCGTTGGCTTTCTTGGCCACCTGGGCACACTGTGAGTCCCTCACTGAGGACGAGGCAGGTGGCCGGAGCTCTGTGTGTCACCCACACTGTGAAGCTTATCGCTATCCCAGCTGCTGCAGCGCATCGTGGCTCCCCTGGAGCAGAGAGCTCCCTGCAGAGGCTCTGAGCTGCCTTTTCAACAAGGGATTCCTGCTTAAATGCTACTGAAGGAGTTATTTTAAAGCCAGGCAAGAGTAATCTTAGGAACTGAAATGTGGCTTTGCCCGCTGACCCTCCATTCTTGTGGCATAAATCCCCTGCCGTCTGTGTGCTTGCCACCAGCTGGGTGTTTGAAGGGGATTTGCTTAGCTGAGAAGCAGGGAGCAGAGAAGCAGGCATGAATTCCTCCTGGGATTTTCCTTTTGAAGGTTAAGTGAGATGTATCAGCCTTGAGAATTTGGCTTCTGGCCAAATGCGTTTTTCCCTTTTCCTTGTAAACTGAAGCATGGAGGTGGTAAAAGCTCTCATGGTGTTTGTGTGATGCCAAAGGAGCCTGAGTGTGGAATAAGGGGATGATTTCTGGGGTGTGCGTGTTCAGACTGACTTGTGCCGGGCTGTGACCGTTTTGTTTTTTCTCCTCTGAGAGGCTGTGTCCACCCTGGGAGGGTCTTATCCTACGATAAGATCCTTCCCCCTCCAGCACTGGGCACCAGGATCATCCTCCCCGTCCCAGGGACACGGGGGCTGTCCCTGCCGCTTGGCACAGCCTGGCGCTGCAAGCAGGGCCACCCCGGCACATCCCCCTTTTCCGCAAGCCGTGCACCCGTGCTGCGTTCTGATCTGGCTCAAAGCCAGCAGCGCTTGATCGCTGGGCTCTGCTGGGATGGAGTTACCCCGTCTGCCTGGCAGGGTGACATTTGGCTCTGCGGGGTGGCTGCGGGCCATGCGGATGGTAGCCCACAGCCCGTTGCCGCGCGGGGTGCTGGCAGATGCCACGACCGTTTTGCTCCAACCCTCCCTGGCCAGGTTCTGTTCCTCTTCTCCCCCACTGCTGCCGCACGCTGAGTGCCTCTCTCATCACCCTCCTCTGCTTTCGCAGCCGCTCCCCCTCCCCGCTGCAAGCCACTGAGAAGGAGAAGGAGAGTCCTACAGAGCTGGCGGAAAGGTGCCTGCGGGAGCTGCTGGGCCGGGCAGCGTACGGCAACATCAAGAACGCCATCAAACCCGTCCTCATGTAAGTCCTGCATCCCTCACCTTTGGCACAAGGGAAACTGAGGCACAGGGAGTGCGGGCCAGAGCTGGGGTGAAGGCGTGGGCTCCCCTCGGCGCGGTACTGAAGATGGGGACTGGGTTTCAGTCTGAGCTCTCATTTTCGGATGTGATGAGGAAGATCTCGTGGGATAGATACCTGGTGCGGAGAAAAGTCACCCCAGAGGGGAGTTTGTGTCCCTGCCCTCCCCTGCAGCATTTGCTCCCTGCTGCTTCAGGCTGTTCCAGGTGCTTGGTGCTGCTCTGCACCCCCGTACGGTTTGGGGGGACCAATATTTACTTTCCCCTCTGCTTCCATCTCTTCCCCAGCCACCTGGATAACCACTCGCTCTGGGAGCCGAAGATCTTTGCAACTTGCTGTTTCAGGATCATCATGTACTCGATCCAGGTGAGGAGCTGGGGGTACCCTGGCCCATGACACCATTTGGGGACACACCTGCGTGCTGGGGAGTGTGCCCGTGTCTGCCTCCAGGACTGGGCTGAGTCAGAGCCGCCGCCGCCGCATTGCCGCATCCCGGCAGCGCCAAGTCGGAGCGTTCGCCGGGAGCTCGGCCACCAAGTGTGCCCTAAAACGGGCCAGAGACAGGGCACAGTCCTCGTGCGGGCAGGTGGCCCCACAGGTGTGAGGGGGACTATCTGCTCGGGGTTAGCCTGGCTTCATGCCAGCCGGGTGTGTTTTACAACACTGCTCATGGAGCTGGTACCTCCGTCCCGGGAGCGATTTCCCTCCCTCTCAGTGGAAAGCAAAGCCCTGCTGAATCAGTCGGGCTAGCAGGCGTGCTGTGAAGTGCTCCCCAGGAAGCAGTTGGGCTCCGATGGAAAGCTGCCTCTTTCCAGATCGCTGCCATGTGAATCGATCCAAGCTCCTCGTCCCTGCAGAAAAGGAGAGGGGCTGTCTAGAGTGAAACGTGCCCCTGGGCAAACCAGGCATTGTCATCCAGCACGCCCCTCCTTAGATGTGGGGATGCTCAGAGACAGACCCTGCCAGCCCCTTCTCACTGGGGGGGCCATGGAAATGCAGTTTAGGTAAATCCCAAAGTGATAGAGGTCCATCCTTTTTTTTTTTTTTTTTTTTTTTTAAACCTTGTTTGTCTGGGTCTCTGCATGCCCTTGGGCACGGTTCTGCCTTCCCACCTTGCTCCTACTCTGCTGGGGCAGTCCCAGACCTGCTGCCTCACTTCGCCCCTCTGGGAGTTTGCTTTGCTTTAGAACTCAGCCAAACTGTGGCTTTGCTTGCAGAACTCTTACAGGAAAAAGGAGATCACCACCCCTTGCTCTTGTTTCTTGTTTTTCATCCTGTAAACTGCCTAAACCCATTCACAGAGATTCCAGGTTTTATAAAATCCTGTTAATGCATATTGGAAGCGTAAGGTCACGATAAGTCAGCAGGACCCTTGGGAAACCCCGGAAAAAATCAAATCCTTTCTCCCTGAAATCCCTGGGATTAATTGTCACCATTTTCTTAGATCTGTACAGCTCTTCAGATTTGTTTTTCCTCTGCAAATTACTCCAAGCTCTTGCACAGTCATGTAAAACAGGCTTCCCCCAGGTGCCTCCTCTCATTTTGCATCTGGAGCTGTCTTGGAAAGAGCCGGGCGGGGACTCTCTGCAGCTGGGCACACGTGCAGGATTCGTCCCCGGTAGCTGGGTGAGTTACAGAAACAGGCTGTCACCTTGTGCTGTCATTCTTCCTCCCTTCCTAGCCTCAGCACTCCCATCTCGTGATCCAGCAGCTCCTGGGGCACCTGGATGCTAACAGCAAGAGCGCGGCCACCGTGCGCGCGGGCATCGTGGAGGTCCTCTCGGAGGCCGCGGTGATCGCAGCCTCCGGATCTGTTGGTAAGTGGGTAAATTTATCCTCTCCATCCATCTCCTCACCCTCTTACTGCCGTGGGAATGGGGAAGAGGTGCTGGAGGTTTGGGCTGGGCTCTGGCATGTGCCCAAGCATGAGCCTGGTGATGGGGGATCCAGCCTGGAGCATGTCGGGGTGCTGGTGGTCTGTTCTGTGCCGTTTCAGTGCTCCCAAGCGCAACCCCTATGTCCATGTGCAGCGACCTAAACCCAGAGGGCTGAACCCAATGCCTGCCTTTGCCTTCGGGGCAGGGGGCAGGGGGAGTTTTCAGGAGCTTGCTGTGAATATGCCAAGATGATGGTGCTCCTGGAAGGACATTTCACGGTCAAAAGTCACTGTGTGTCGAGCCAAACAGTTTTTCAACTGGTTTATGGTGTTGGCGGGTGGTACAAACCATGTTGTCCTGGGGGAAGCTACAGCCTCCATCTCCATGGGGAAAAGTGCTGCTCTCCTCCCACGATGTTCCACCGTCTCTCCCCTCTCGCCACTGCAGGCCCCACGGTGCTGGAGGTGTTTAACACCCTGCTGAGGCAGCTGCGCCTCAGCATCGACTATGCGCTGACGGGGAGCTACGACTGCGCCGCCGGCATCAGCACCAAGATCATCAAGGAGCACGAGGAGAGGATGTTCCAGGAGGCCGTCATTAAAACCATAGGTGGGGTGTCCCATGTTGCCCAGCGCGCTGGGTTTCTGCCTTGGGTATCTACAGGATTATTCAGGGTGAAACAAAGTCACCCTCATCCTAAAAGTGGAGATGGGAAATGAGATTTATCTGTTGAGGTGTGCTGCAGGTGTGGCGGTGGGTTATTGGCGGGTGGCATTGCAACCCCAGCTGTCCCCGACAGAGCTGCTGCATGGAGGAAAAATCATATTTCTCCCTGGGTAGGACACCCCAAGGAAGGGAAGGAGAGGAGAAGTATCAGAAATAGCATGGCCAGCAGGGACAGGGAAGGGATCTGAGCCCTGGGCTCGGCACTGGGGAGGCCGCCCCTCGATTCCTGGGTTCAGTTCTGGGCCCCTCACCCCAAAAAGGCCATTGAATGACTCGAGCGTGGCCAGAGAAGGGCAACGGAGCTGGGGCAGGGTCTGGAGCACAGGTCTGCTGGGGAGCGGCTGGGGGAACTGGGGGGGTTCAGTCTGGAGCAGAGGAGGCTGAGGGGAGACCTCCTGGCCCTCGGCAACTCCCTGCCAGGAGGGGGCAGAGAGGGGGGGATGAGTCTCTGGAGCCAAGGCCCCAGCGCCAGGCCCCGAGGGAATGGCCTCAAGCTGCCCAGGGCAGGGTCAGGCTGGCTCTGAGGAAGGATTTCTGTGCAGAAGGGGCTGTTGGGCGTTGGAATGGGCTGCCCAGGGCAGGGGGGAGTCCCTGGGATCCCTGGAGGGGTTGAAGAGTCGGGCTGAGCCAGCGCTGAGGGATCTGGGGGAGTTGGGAACGGTCAGGGGGAGGGTCATGGTGGGGCTGGAGGAGCTGCAAGGGCTTTTCCAACTGAGATGATCCTGTGAAAGAGGGTAGGAGTCACCCTGCTGCAGCCACGGAAGGTGGGAATGCACCAGCCCCAAAAAAGGAAGTGTTTAGAGGCAGGATTTGCCATCTCTCAGCCTCTGGGCCTGGGGCTGTCCCACCTGAGAGGTTTTTTGATGGGTCTTGAATGTATGGGTCTGAAGATAAAGCTGTCTGGGGGCTTGGAGTGGGGCATGCGGGCTGACCCCATGGCACTGGGCACTTCTGCGGGGGGTGGGCTGCGCTTTCCACGTGCTGCCAGCTCACTTCTGTCCCCACAGGGTCCTTTGCCAGCACGCTGCCCACCTACCAGCAGTCTGAGGTGATGGTCTTCATCATGAACAAGGTGCCGCTACCCTCCTCACAGCAGTCCATCGAGGCTGGCAAAGCCGGGTGAGAATGGATGCCTTCCTCCCTCCTCAGTCTCCCCCCTGCCCTGATCTCCCTGCCCCTGTCCCATGTGTGTGGCTGTAAAGCTTTGAACATGGAGCTGGACGTGCTGGGACCACCTTGAGGTGGTCTTTGGGGACAGAGTGGGATGTTATCAGAAAGGTCGAGCATCGAGCACTTCCACTGCGGAGCAACGTAGGATCCTCCTTTAAAATGCTTTACTACCTGCAGACGTGATGACAAGGGCCCCTTCAAACACTGGAGCATCAAGGGGGAGAGGTGTTTACAGGCAGTGGTGCTGCAGTTGAACTCTGCATTTCTTCAGGTACCTGCTGAGAGATTCAGCTGTCAGGAGCTCAGTCCTGGGGTGTCAAGTGTAACTAGCCAGGAACTAAAAATAATATTCAGGGGAGTGACTTCAGGATGTCTCGGGGCAGTGAGGTGGCCGCTGGTGAGTGAGGGCTGCTGAAAAGCTCATGTGTGGCTCCGTGGGACTGGCTGTTGGTGGCTGCCATCCCCCGCTGGCGCGTGGCCCCTCGGAGCTGCCTCCGAGCTTTTATTAACACCGAGCGGGAGGAGGTATTTATACCCGGCAGTGGAGGAAGAGAAGGAAGGGAAAACACCCAAACAACATAATTCCTTAAGAAGTGTGGGAACAGACCATGAGAGCTATTTAGAGCCAGGGTATCAGCGCTGAAACATGTAGGTAAGGAGCAAACAGATTTTCGTGCTATATTTATCTTCAAAGTACGGTCAGGCTCTTCCCACTTGTCTCTGATGGGAGAGAGACTTTGCTGGCTGATAGGAGACACTCTGCTCCTCGCTCGCATGGGGGTTACTCCTGATGCCTGTGTTTGGTCCCGATTCAGGCAGTGGGAGGCACGCTGGGTGCTGGGTGCTGTTTGGCCAGGGCAGCTTTCCCGGCTGTGGGAGCAGAATCGGGCTTGTAGCCCCAGGATGGCAGTTACTGCTCAGCTGGTCGTGACAGGCTGTTTGTCACTGCTCCTTTCTCAGCTCGCCAGCTTCCTCCGGGAGAGTTTTTAAATCTCTGATGCTGTGTGAAGGATGGTGCTCGCTCTGCGTGTGCAGGTGAACCAGGAGTTCGCAGAGGAGTGGTTCAGCTTATGGGGATGCTGCCGTTCGGGGTGTAGCTCAGTCTCTAGGCAGAGGTAGGCAGTGTGTCATGGGACAGCGTGGAAATCCCTTAGGAGCTCCCTGTGTCCCCTCAGGGCTAGGAAAGGCTGAGTTCAGACACTAGAGAATTCAAGATTTCCTCTTTTTCCCAAGAAGTGGAAGTGCGCTTCATGGTGGCTTTGCAAGAAGTGAGATGGGAGCGAGGAGCGGGCGTACCTCTGTGGACAGGAGGGTTTGGGCTTTGTCTTGCTGATTTGCAGCTGCTGGAAAGTGAGGAGCCTGTTCTGAGCCAGTCCCTTGGGAGTCACTTGGGATTAAGACGTCTAGACATTGGTTCATTCTCCTGAGCTCAGCTTGCTCCTGGTCAGAGATGCAAGTGCTGCCTTGTTTCTGAATCCTATGGCAAGGTGTATGCTTTGATATTCATCATCCCTTTGGCAGCCTTTTTGCTGGCTATTAAATCGGGAGCTCATTCACTGAAGACCACGGCTGTTTGTGGTGGTGACTCTCGGGAAACTGGTCCAGCCCTTTCTGAAGGCTTTTCCATCCTTGGGGTATAGCAGTTGTTTTCACTTAGATTTTACCATTTTTTTCCTCTCTCTGTGGCAGGGAGAACCGGAATCGGCTGACACAGATAATGCTCCTGAAGTCCCTCCTCCAGGTATGACCATGTCACCATCCCTGCGGGAACATCTGACCCCCACAAGACCTGTGGGGTTCCAGCTACTGGCATGTCAAAGCTGATTTGGGGACCTTCTCCCCTGGGATGCATTAGGAAGAGCTCAAGCTGTACTTAGTCTTCTCTGCTTGCATCCTCTCTTTCTTGGTGTGTTTTAACACCCACCCCCCCCCAAGTGCCACTGTCAGTTTGCTTCCCATTTTCTTTGATGCTTGCAGGTCTCTGTGGGCTTCCAGTGCAGTAACATGCTCACAGCACTCCCCAGCGCCTTCCTGGACAGGCTGCTCTCCGCAGCCCTCATGGAGGATGCTGAGATCCGCCTCTTTGTCCTCGAGATCCTCATCAGCTTCATCGATCGCCATGGGAACCGACAGAAATTCTCCACCATCAGGTATGTCCCAGGGCTGGGACCTGTGCACCCTGCAGAGCAGGCTTGAGAGGAAGATCTGCTGGGCTGGGAGTGCTGGCAGGATTATTAAATAAATCTGGTACAAATTCTGGGGTGGTTTCATGTTGCAGATCAGTGGTCTGCTAGGAGCTGGATGCATGGGGGGGGGTCTCTCTGAGAGGCTGTGCCCAGAGACACGTGGGACCACGCTGCTGAAAGCACCTGTGGTTAGACAGTGGTGCCAGGAGGATGTGCAGGAGCAATAACCTCCTCAAGTGGGTTCATCAGCTGGGTTGCATCCCCATGGATGGTCCTGCTGGGCACTCGTGTTGTCCGTGCTGCATTACCCTGGATGAAGGTGACTGTAATCCCAGATGGAAACATCTCCCTGGGTTTTGCTGTGCTCCTGCTAATCCTTTTTACTTGCACCCTTCTTTGTCAACTTGCCTTCGTGCTCCTGAGCACCAACTGCCTTGAAATCCTGTGGAGATTTGCCTCAGGATTCTTGAATATCTGAACCGCTCAGATGAGTGTTAAAAACCTCCTTTAGCTTCCCGCATCGGTTCTTCCCGGATGGCTCGTTCCTGGCCAGCAGCTCTGCAGGGGTGCAGGAATCGTGCCTCCTCCCTCCTGTGTCTGAGTTTTCCCTCCCCCTTGGCCTTTCCTTGCAGCACCATCAGCGACATCTCGGTCCTGAAGCTGAAAGTGGACAAATGCTCGCGCCAAGATACTGTCTTCATGAAGAAGGTAGTGTCAGAGTCTGGGTCAAGCTGTCCTTGTGCAGACCAGTGTGAGCACTGGGCCTCTGTTTCCCCAAGTCACACTGAGAGTACTGTGATGCTTCTAGACCTGGGAATGTCCCTGTGAAAGCCAGCAGGATTCCACCTCCATCGGCGCTTCATGCATGAGCCTTTCTAGACTCCTAAATCTTCTATTTGACCCAAGGAACAAGTACCCCAGGATGTGCTGGTATCCCAAAAGCTATTGATCAAGTGGCTTTCGAAGTTGCCTGATTTTATTTATTTTTATTTCCCCCCACTGCCTCCTTAGAGCACTTCCAGAGTGGCGCAGACCCCTCTGGAACTAACTCGAGGCCAAGATGGGATCAGTTTATTACCTTGCGCACATCACCGAGCAGCAATGCAGCCCCTAAACTAAAAAACAATCCCAGAGCTGAGTTTCCCTTGCGCCAGCGTGTGCCCTGCTCTGTCCCATGATGGCCTTGCTGTCCCGTAGTGTGTCTCAGGGCTTTATTTCTCTGCTGTGGTCTGAGCCATAATTTCCGTAATGTTTCTGCAACAGAGACATCCTTTGGGTTCGGTGCTGCCAGTGCTCTTAGCCTGCTCTGGGCTATTTTTTTGGATGAGCCAGGGCTTCTTCCCCATCATGGTCCAGCATCGAACGGTGAAACACCACCTGATAGCCACAGCTTTCTCTCCCTGGGGCTTTCTTCCTTTGCTTGGTGACTGGAGGAGCTCTGCTCCCTCCTGCATGGATGAAGGCTCCTTTGCTGGGCCCTGCTGCTTTTCTTTCTCTGCGTTGACGGCAGTGTTGCTCGCAGGGGGATGCTCAGGAGGTGACCACATCCTTCTGTGTCCCCACAGCATGGCCAGCAGCTCTACCGACACATCTACCTGATATGCAAGGAAGAGAGCAACGTGCAGGCTCACTACGAGGCTCTCTACAGCATGCTGATGCTCATTAGCATCGAGCTGGCTAACGAGGAGGTCGTGGTGGACCTCATCCGCCTGGTGCTGGCTGTGCAGGTAGGCAGGGGGGAGCTGGGTGTGCTGCTGGTGCTCAGTGCTGGGGGGCAGCTGAGCGGGGATGTGATGGGGAGTTGGGGTGTCTGAGGAAGCGAGGTGCGAGTGCCTTGCCAGCTCTCAGCTTCTCCCACCATAGTGGGACCAGACCAACGCGCTGGAGACGGATCTTAATCGCTTTGCCAGTGTCTGAAGTGCTGCAAACCCGAGCTCTGAGAGCCGGGATGTTTGGGGGGCAGGTGATACCATGGGGTGCAAGGGGTCCACCCCAGCCCGGCCTTGTCCCTCTTCGCCTCACGGGGCTGTGTCTCTGCTGCAGGAGATAGCCCAGATCAACGAGGACAACTTGACAGCCTACAACCGCTGCGCGCTCTTCGCCCTCGGCGCGGCTTACCTGAACCTCATCAGCCAGCTCACCACCGTGCCCACCTTCTGCCAGCACATCCACGAGGTGTGAGGGAGGTCCTGGGGACGGCGCTGGAGCCTTGCCCACGGCAGCTCTGGCATCAGCTCTGGCCACCCGTGGGGGTTGAGCTCGACTCTTCTCTTCCGTAGGTCATCCAGATGCGACAGAAGGAAGCTCCCTACCTGCTTCCTGAAGACGTGTTTGTGGAGAGACCCAGGTAAGAGCGTGGAAAGCACCGTCTCCTGAGGGATTGGCATCTGCAAGATCGTGGGTGACAGTGGGTTTATCAGCCCTTCACTTGTCTCCTTTTCAATCTGGGGGTGGCACAGTGGGAAGGACATCAAGTGGTTTCCAGCCTGTTCCGAATCTGAGGAAGATCCTGTGCAGCCAGGGAAGGGGGGGTGACCGCCTCGGCTTGTGCTCACAGCCAGCCCAGTGCCGGGATCAGCTCTGTACGCTGAGCCCTCCCTCTTTCTGACAGCAGGATGGGTGTGGATCAGGGGTGTCATCCTGCTGCTCTGCTGTGCCACCGGGTCGTGGCTGCATGTAGGGCATCCCCAGGCCACAGAATCCCAGAATTATCTGGGTTGGAAAATCCCTTGCAGCTCCTCCAGCCCCACCATGACCCTCCCCCTGACCGTTCCCAACTCCCCCAGATCCCTCAGCGCTGGCTCAGCCCGACTCTTCAACCCCCCCAGGGATCCCGGGGACTCCCCCCTGCCCTGGGCAGCCCATTCCAACGCCCAACAGCCCCTTCTGCACAGAAATCCTTCCTCAGAGCCAGCCTGACCCTGCCCTGGGCAGCTTGAGGCCATTCCCTCGGGGCCTGGCGCTGGGGCCTTGGCTCCAGAGACTCATCCCCCCTCTCTGCCCCCTCCTGGCAGGGAGTTGCAGAGGGCTGGCTGGGCTGCCCCGGTCCTGCTGGCACACTTGTCAGGGGTCACATTTGGTTGTGAGGTCCCGTACGGAGACTCTGCCCCCATCAGACGTTCCCTAGATCAGGGTGGTCCTTCCTGAGCACACCTGTACCCGTGGTGGTGGGTCAGGAGCCTGTCTGTGCTGGTGTGTGCAGAAATAGGAGCTGTGCTGGAGCTAAGCAAAGCCATGAGATCTCTGTTTCTGACCCAACAGGGTGGGAAGCCCTGCTGGCACCGTTCCCTTGGCAGGAGAGATGCTGTGCCATCTCCGTGGGTTTGTCTCTGTCTTCATAGGTTGAGCAAGAGCCTTGACCACCTGGGCCCGGAGGTTTTCTTCTGGCAAAGCAAGATCAGCGAGGTGCTGGGTGGTAGCGGCTACAACTCGGACAGGCTCAGCACGCCCTACATCCCCCAGCTGACGGGTACACAGCACCCTGGGCCGTCCCGGAGAACTGGGGGGGGAGGAAGGAAACTGATCCCTTGCTCTGTACTGTTACGGGGGTGTGAAGCCCTTGGCCTGCATGTGGACCGTGTGGGTGGTGGATGTGGATGGGAGATGGCAGATGGTGGGTTGTGGGATGGGGGATGGTGGATTGTTCTTCTGCCCTCCTTTGGAGGTGTAGCCTTGGGGAAACTGAGGCATAAAGAGGTTAATCAGGAATTTCCTGGGCTGGCTGGACAGAAAGAACCAAGAAATCCCCTGGGCTTGGCTCAGTCCTCAGTTCTGCTGTTTTGGATGAATTTGGGTGAATGGCTTAGAAGGACTGCTAGCTCCCCTGGGGCTGGGACGTGAGGCTGTGCTCCCCAGGGGCCACCTGTGCTCACCCTGCTACCCCCAGGGTGGCTGCAGTCAGCTCTTCGCCCTTTCTCTTCATCCCCAGATGAAGATCGCTTGTCCAAGAGGAAGAGCATTGGCGAGACCATTTCCCTGCAGGTTGAGGTGGAGTCGAGGAACAGTCCTGAGCGAGAGCAGGTACCGTGTTACTCTGGAGCTGCAGAGACTGCCTCATCCCTTCAGCACAGTGTGCTTGTAGCTGCCTGAGAATGTGCAGTTACACCTCTCTAATTCTTCATTTGGCTGCACGTGTAATTGCTCTGAGCATAACTCAGCCCCAGCATGGCCGGCAGCGAGCCGAGTCAGAAAGACCCTGACTCCCCCTGATGCTCCTCTCCCAGCCTGCAAGGGGAGTGTGCTGGGTTAACCCTGGCTGGACATCAGGTGCCCCCCAAAGCTGCTCTGTCACTCCCCTCAGCTGGACAGGGAGAGACAATATAACCAAAGGCTGGTGGGTGGAGATAAGACCAGGGAGATCACTCACCAGTTACTCTCATGGGCAAACCAGACTCAACTTGTGGAAATTAATTTAATTTATTGCCAATCAAATCAGAGCAGGGTAATGAGAAATAAAAAATAAATCTTAAAACATCTTCCCCGCACCCCTCCCTTCCTCCCCAGCTCAGCTTCACTCCCCGTTTCTCTCCCTCCTCCCCGCCAGCGGCGCAGGGGGACGGGGAATGGGGGTTGTGGTCAGTTCATCACCCCTTGTCTCCGCTGCTCCTTCCTCCTCAGGGGAGGACTCCTCACACTCCTCCCCTGCTCCAGCGTGGGCTCCCCACGGGGTCACAACCCCCTTGGGACATCTCCCTGCTCTGGCGTGGGGTCCCCCAGGGGCTGCGGGTGGAGATCTGCTCCCCCGGGGACCTCACAGCTGCCTCACCGTGGTCTTCATCACGGGCCGCGGGGAACCTCAGCTCTGGCACCTGGAGCACCTTCTCCCCCTCCTTCCTCACTGACCTCGGTGGCTGCAGGGTTGTTTCTCTCACATATTCTCACTCCTTTCTCTGGTTACTGTTGCACAGGAGGGTTTTTTTCCCCTTAAATATATTATCCCAGAGGCATTACCACTGTTGCTGATGGGCTCGGCCTTGGCCAGCAGCTGTGTCAGACATGGGGGGGGAAGCTTCTAGCAGCTTCTCACAGAAGCCATCCCTGTAGCCCCCCGATACCAAATCCTTGCCATACAAACCCCATACAGGGAGCCACGCAGCAGGAAGGGTCTCCCACTGCTGTTTGGGTGGCAAGTCTTTCTTTTAGGGGAGGTGTAAGGCCTGGCTAGTCCAGCCTGAAAAAACATTTTAAAAGTGCTCTTTGCCAGGAAAGATCTCCCTGGCCAGCAGGGACAGGGCAGGGATCTGAGCCCTGGGCTCGGCACTGGGGAGGCCGCCCCTCGATTCCTGGGTTCAGTTTTGGGCCCCTCACCCCAAAAAGGCCATTGAATGACTCGAGCGTGGCCAGAGAAGGGCAACGGAGCTGGGGCAGGGTCTGGAGCACAGGTCTGCTGGGGAGCGGCTGGGGGAACTGGGGGGGTTCAGTCTGGAGCAGAGGAGGCTGAGGGGAGACCTCCTGGCCCTCTGCAACTCCCTGCCAGGAGGGTGCAGAGAGGGGGGATGAGTCTCTGGAGCCAAGGCCCCAGCGCCAGGCCCCGAGGGAATGGCCTCAAGCTGCCCAGGGCAGGGTCAGGCTGGCTCTGAGGAAGGATTTCTGTGCAGAAGGGGCTGTTGGGCGTTGGAATGGGCTGCCCAGGGCAGGGGGGAGTCCCCGGGATCCCTGGGGGGGTTGAAGAGTCGGGCTGAGCCAGCGCTGAGGGATCTGGGGGAGTTGGGAACGGTCAGGGGGAGGGTCATGGTGGGGCTGGAGGAGCTGCAAGGGCTTTTCCAACCCAGATGGTTCTGGGATTCTGTGATCCTTAAGGATATGCTGTGTTTTGGTGCAAGAGTACAGCCCAGGAGTACTGGTTCTGGGTTGTTGTGACCCCAGAATGATGTCCTATGCTGTGCTTTGAGCCTAATGTGCTTTTCCCTTTCCTTTAGCGAGCACCAGCGGAAGAGATCACATATGAGACGCTGAAGAAGGCAATAGGTAAGCGAGGGAGCCAGCTGTGGCAGGGAGAGGTGGAGGCTGGTGTGGTGTGTACCCATGGGTACTGTCACCCCTGTGTCCGTGTGTGTTCATAGCTCTGCCTGGCCCTGGGGGTGTCCGGGGGGCTAGTGATGCCCAAACCCGTGCTATCTGCTGGGGAGAAGGGGATGTGGTTATCCGTGCAGGTGGGGAGCAGCTGAGAGCCATCTCCCCTCTGCTTCAGTAGACAGTGTCGCCGTGGAGGAGCAGGAGCGGGAACGGAGGCGGCAAGTGGTGGAGAAATTTCAGAAAGCCCCGTTTGAGGAGATCGCCGCCCACTGTGGTGCCCGGGTGAGTCGGGGCTGCGGCACCCTCGATCCCCACAGCTGCCCTGCTCTGGTGCCCGGGGCAGGGTGTTTGTCCCCATTTGTACCCCCATGACTCCCAGGGTGCAGCCGCACTCATACAGCCGCTGTGTCTGTGTTACAGGCGACGCTGCTGCAGAGCAAACTCAACCAGATCTTCGAGATCACCATACGGTGAGTCGGGGCCACAGCTGAGCTGTGCCAAGCATGGGGTGCCTGGCAGTGGGAGCCACCTGTCCCCCATCGAGGAGACTCATGTGCTGGGCTGGCTGCCAGCCTGGGGTTGGGCTCTGTGGTGGCAAGAGGGGACAGGAGCCAGCAGTGTGCCCGGGTGGCCAAGAAAGCCAACGGCCTCCTGGCTTGGATTGGAACTAGTGTGAGCAGCAGGAGCAGGGAGGTGACAGTCCCCTGTGCTCGGCACTGGTGAGGCCACACCTGGAGGGTTGTGTCCAGGTCTGGGCACCTCAATCCCAGAGAGATCTGGAGGGGCTGGAGCGAGGGCAGAGGAGGGCAGCGAGGCTGGGGAAGGGCTGGAGAATCAATCCTGTGAGGAGCCAGGGAAGGAGCTGGGAGTGTTCAGGGTGAGGAGGAGGAGGCTGAGGGGAGCCCTCATCCCTCTCTGCAGCTCCTGACAGGACATTGCAGAGAGGCTGGGGCTGGGCTCTGCTCCCAGGGGATCAGGGACAGGACAAGAGGGAACGGCTGGAAACTGCCCCAGGGGAGGGTCAGGCTGGGCAGGAGGAGAAAATGTTTCCCAGCAAGAGTGGTGCGAGAGTGGAAGAGGCTGCCCAGGGAGGGGGGAGTCCCCATCCCTGGGGGGGTTTCAGGGCCATTGGGATGAGCTGTGGGGGATGTGGGGTAGGGGAGAACTGTGTAGAGTCGGGCTGAGGGTTGGACTCGCTGATCCCGAGGGGCTTTTCCAACCTGAAGGATTCTGTGACAAGCTGCTGGGAGCAGCCTCTGATTTGTTTGTCCCAGTTCCCCTCTGTGGTGTTGGCCCTGAGGAGACCTGCAACGACACAGGAATGCACGTTTTCTGCATCAAGCTTCACTTCCTCACTAAACCACCTTGTTCCATCTCCTCTGTTTCAGGCCACCACCGAGCCCTTCTGGCACCATCACAGCTGCCTATGGCCAGCCCCAAAACCACTCCATCCCGGTGTATGAGATGAAGTTCCCAGACCTGTGTGTGTACTGAAGGTGGCCGTGCTGGTAGGGCAGAGCCACCGCCGCACAGCTCGCACCAAAGGACCTCTTGGGGAGAGACTGCCGACCCCGCGGGGAGCGCGTCCTCGTGCAGGACGGGTGGGGACACGGACGCCGAGGCCGCCCCAAGATTCGTTGGCACCGCAAACCCCTCTCCTGTACTTTTATTTTGTGACCCTCTGCCTCCGCAGCCACGTTGTGCAGCGGTTGGCGGGTGCAGGAGGCTCGGGGTGCAGCGGTGTGGGGAGGTGGGTATTTGCTGCCACCTCCCTCACTGGTTTTGTTTTTCGGGAAGGGGAGAGGGGATGCTCCGGCTTCAGGCAGAGCACGTTGGGCACGTACATCTTCCCGACATAAAGCAAACCTCTTCCCCAGGAAATCCCTCCCCTCATCGTCTGTCAGCCATGTCGCGAGCCCCCGCCACGGGGCAGGGCTGAACCTGGAGAATTCAGCCTGTCAAAGGCAGGAGGGGGTTTGGGGTGCAGCGGGCCGGAGCCCAGGGCAACCGCAGAACCAAAACCTGCCCGAGCTGGTGCTTGAGGCAGATACGGTCCCCACATCCAACTCCTGGCCCGTGAGCCTCCATCGTCTGTAGCCCCCTCGTTGTGTGGCCAGTTCCCCTTCACGGTGCCCCGATGCCCGGTGCAGCACGGGGTGGCAATTGTCCCACCCCAGTGTGGGGGCACGCAGCAGCCTGGCTGGTTCCAGGTCACTTGAAAACACAATTTCTTTGGGAAAACCCACTTTTTTTTTGGGGGGGGAAACCCAGCAGAGCCTTGCCTCTCCCCCAGTTCACCACGGGGCTGATGGTGACTGAGCCCAGAGGCAGCGTGCCGGTGGGGCGATGACACGAGGCACGAGCAGCCACTGTGCTGGGGAATATTAACACGTGAACCCACTGTTTTCATATTTTTGGGTTGGGTTGTGACAGTTCTGGGGTTCCTGTCTCAAAGAGATAATTATTATTTTATTTTATTTTTTTTTTAGCTTTGAAAAAGTCTAATCTTAAATCAGCTGAGCCATAATCACAAGGAAACCCCCGTGCAGCAAGGAACGAGCTGCCATAAGGTGTTTTAGAGGGTCCACCGTGTAGATCCTGTGTCTGGCAGGCCACGGATAGCGCCTGTCCTCGTGTAGTAGAGGAAAATTTGGGGGGAGATGAGACTGTCCAAGAGTTTTACGTGTGGTGGAAAATTCTGGGTCCTACCAAACCGAAACTACAAGGTGAAGATGGTAGGGATGAGGAGGAGAGGTTGCTTGGGAGTATTGAGCTGTTCACAGCGAGTATTCAGTCCTTCCCAGGGGTTATTCAGTCATTCGAGGAGGACATTCCGTTGCTCACAGGGGATATTTAGTTGTTCACAGGGTCTCTCCCGCTCCCAAATGCCTTCCAAGCGTCGGTGTGCTGAGGCAAGCTCCGGAGCCCTTCTCAGTGGGACGAGCGCTGCCCGCAGCTTCCCTCGGAGCAGGCTGGGGCTGCCTGGGGGTCTCTTCTGCGAGCTCGGGCAGCCCCTTCCCCTCGGGCCAGCCACGCTGCGTCCGCCCGAGCTGCCTCAAGAGACGCAGAACGCTCTGAAGCTGCGGACGCGGGAGCTGCTTCTGCCCATTGCAGAGGGGCAGCAGGTAAAGGCTCTGCCTGTGCCCCACCGGCTTCCTTCAGCCACGACCCCTTCCTCTGCCCCTCTCGCTGCAGATCTTCAGACATATATTTTAAGCTATAATGACACATCACCATCCCCTCCTGTGGTTGCAGTTCACGGTTGCCCCGAGGTCACCGCTTGTTTGTGTTGTCGTGCTGTAATCCGGGTTTAGGAAATGATCTAGTTTAAGAGCACAGGAAAAACAAGGGTTTATTTTGGTCCCTGGGCTGGATCGCGGTGCTGCCCCGCTCACAGCGTGGCTCTGCCTGTGCCAGCCCTGCCCGGTGCCTGAGGTTCTCCCCTTGCTGCTGCCTCTCCTCAGGGTCCCCCCATGTGTTTGTCCCCTGTCCCCAAGCTCTTTTTGCTCCCCGGTCCTGCTGAAATCTGAATTTGGGCTGGGGCAGGTTTTGGGGTTGGCAGTGGGAACACAAAGCAGATTGCTTGGGGGAAGAAGGGTTTGCTCCCATGGCTGTTCTAATGAAAAGCACTAAAAACCTTTAACAAAACGCAGTAGGAAAAGCAATTAACCCCCCACGGGTAAAACGCCTCCAGAACTCTTCAAAACCACAAAGAAGGTGCAAAGATGAGCAGGAGGGGAGCCACGGGGCCACAGGCCCTCCTGTCCCAATGCTTTTTCCCTTACTCTGCTCCGTGGGACCCTGCAGCGGGGCTGGGACCGTCACCCCCCGGCTGGCTGCATCCCCCAGCATGTCTCGCCGCTGCCCCTCCGTATTCTGGGACCCAAACTCCACCTGTAAATGTGTGTCCCCTCCCCTCCCCGACACACACATGGTGTAAGTGACCTGTTTGTACATCACGTTTAGTTTAGGTACTTGTGTACGTATAGATGACAGAGTATATTTCTATAAAGTCAGCAGTTTAGGTGCATGTGTGTGTTTCCATCTCTGTATTGCGGAGCAGTGTGGCGTTTCCGTGTGTAGCCAAGGGCAGAGGGGGGAGTGGGTTGTTAAAAGAGGCCAAGAAGCCGTCGATATTTTCAAATGCGCCGTCTTCATGCCCTTTTCAAATAAATGTTGATGTTGCCACCATGGGGGATCTGCTGTCTTGGCCCCATCTCTGCCCTGGGAGAGGAAAAATGGGTGGTTGCTGCTGGGATGGAGAAGGGATGGCATGGGGTGAGGAGGAGGATGGTTGTGGCTGTGGACAAGCTTCCTTCCCCCAGCTCTGTGTCCAGGATCCAACCCAACCCAAAAGTTTCATCTTTATCATCCTTTATAATTCAGTATTTCCTCTGGTTTTCCCCCATCTGCCAGAAGCTCCCTGCAGTGCACAGGGCTGTGGGGAATGCGCCTGGGCTTCTCCTCGGGGTGTGTGTGAGACACAAACCCACTTGCCAAGGCCCAAAATGGGAAAGAAAACACTGAGCCCCGTTTTTCTTTAACAATCTTTCCACCGTTTTATAGTAAATAAATGGGGTTGCTTTCCCTAGTCTCCAGGCTCTTCAGCATTTATGATTTGCTGGGGAATTACCGAGTTTGCCTGGGAGGTGGGTGCTGAGGGAGCGTGGCTGTGTCCCTTTGCTCCCTGGGGCAGCACCCTGAGGATGCTGCATTTCCCCAGCACACGTCAGCCCCTGGCACATCAGCGTGGGACTCCTCCCCGGGGCCAAAACACTCTGCTGGGGTGTGCAGGAGCTGGTCCCTGCCAAAATGCAGCCCCCGGCGCCCGCTCTGGGCTGGCTGCAGTGAGCCCAGCCTTGCTGGAGCCCCACAGCCAGCTCCTGTGAAGCTCCCGAGCCGGGGGTGCAAAATTATTCTTCCTCCCTCCACCCTAAAACATGCTTCCCAGCCATGTCTCTTTACCCCACAAGACACAGGATTTTACTTTGCAATTCTGTTTTTCTGCCCCTCCACAAACACCAAGCACCCCGAGAGACATTGCTGAGCCCTGGTTAGCTTGCAAAAAAATGGGTTTGTTTATGTTTGGTTTTTTTTTATTATTCTTTTTAGAATTCTTTGAATCTATCATTTACAGTATTGTACAGCTCAGTGAAAATATGAAAATCATCCAGCGTGCTCCAAACTGGGCATCATCCCCGCTCCCTGTGCGTGTCCCGTGGGTGTGGTGAAGCGGTTGGCATCTTCATCCCCAACCTGTTCCCACCCCGTGAAACCTGGGAGCGGAGCCCTTTGGAGTACTAATTAAGAACGACATAATGAGTGATCTCTAAGTGAAACACATGTCAGCAGGACACTAAAGCTACCGGGGTGGGTTGGGGGACACCTGCGGGCTCTCCCCCATCACTGCCCCTTCTTGTAGGCGCTTTTGATGATGGCATTTTTGAAGAGAGTCACTAGAGGGGTCTGGCTGTGCTCCGAGGTCATGAAGCCCCCGTAGCGCTTGTCCTTCAGGGGCGCGTGCCAGCGGAAATGGCGCATGCGGTAGGAGCCGCCGGCCTTCTTCTCCTCCTCCTGGCCTTCCTCTTCCTCCTCCTCTTCCTCCTCGGGAGGTGCCCCGGTGCTGCTGAGCGCCAGCTCCCGCCTGAACTCCAGCGGGTAGCTCTCGGCTGACTCCTCCTCCACCCCGTTGGGATAGACCTTGATGGGTCTCCTCTTGCGCCCTACCGGCTTTCCCCAGCGGAAGTGCTCCATGGAGTAAGAGCGTTTGCCTTCCTCCCGCTCCAGCCCGGTTCCCTCTTCTTCCTCGTGGCGGGATGGCGGGACAATGGGCAGCGGGTTGCCCCCCACCGCCTCCTCCCGTTTGTGCCCCCCGCCGCCACCGCTGCTGCTGTTCCTCCGGCCAAACTTGTTCCAGCGGAAGTGGCTCATGACGTACTTGCGGACGCTCTCGGAGAGGGGTTGGAGGTGCCCGTTCCCTGGGTAGACGGGGGCCTCGGCTGACAGATCGGTTCTGCACGCCGTGGCGCACGCCTGCGCGGGGGGACGAGACGTGCAGGAAGGGTGAGCACGTGGCCGGGACCCCCCCGGGTTGAGGGGGGTGTTGCTGGGGGCTGCTTGCCCAGAGCGGGATGTTTCCCAAGATGGTTTCACACGTGTCCCACTGATGTCCCCATGCGGGTGCCACCCCCTTGGCAGGGAGCTCAAGGAGCATCGTGCCCAGGCACCAAACCAGCTCTGGGTGGCTGGAAACGGTGCCCGGGGGGGCGGGTGTGTGTGTGTGTGGGGGGAACCCCCACTCTGGGGTCCCTGGAGTAAACTTGGCACTTGCACAAAGCGCATTGTTGCACCAGCCTGTCACCGTCACCCTCTGCGGGCACCCTTGGGCACAGGACGAAGCCGATACCCCAGCCGCTGGTTCATCCCGTGCAGGAGGGATGCTGCCAGCTTAAAAACTTATTTCAGCATCAACCCCCAGCGTGAAACCAGCAGGCACAAGCCCACCAAAACCTGTGGGTCACCAAAGCACCCCCCCACATTGACACGGGTCACCCCACGGCGTTGGCATCCCTGTCGCCTCCTCCCCCAGCCCACCGCGACCATCCCTGGGTTGGGAGGGGGGGGACAGAAACCAAAGCAACCGGGGGGTAGCCCCCATCGCCTGCCTTACCAAAACGCCGGCCTTGCTGCTGAGGTCCTGGCATTTGCTGCTCTCCCAGCACGGGCCGCTGGCGCCGGCAAGGTGCCAGAGCAGCAGCCCCAGCACCACGGGCAGGCTGCTCCACAGCAGCATCTTGGCTGGGGGACGAGGCCGGGCTCACACGAGGGCTGAGAGGGGCCCAGAAACTGTGCAGGAACTATGGGGAAAAAAAGAATTAAAAAAAAAAACCCAAAACCAAACCCCTCTTATTTTACTTCAGGAGATTCCGCAATCCTTTCTTTGATGTGCCCCCCCTTAACCTTTCCATTTTCTAAGTTGCCTCTGTTGGAGTTGCAGGAGCGAGGTCCCCTCCTGCCTCCCCCAGGCCTGTCCCTTGCCCCAGGAGATGCCTTAGTGCTGCAAACCCCCCCTCCTTCTACAAAGCTCCAAGCTCCTTGCAAAGACACGCTCTCCCTACACCCCAGGAGCAGGGTGTGTGTGTGATTTTGCCAGAGGAGAAACTGAGGCACAAAGAAAGGGAAGGCAACACCCAAAGCTGCCTCCCTGCCTGCCCCCACATCCCTCTGCTCCTGCTCAGCTGCTCCAAAAAAAATGGGCAACGCTCCCTCCCTTGCTTCTTCCTCTTGCCTTCTGAACTGAAAAGCGTCTCTCCGGAGCCCAGATCTTTTGTCACTGCTACCGCAGGTGACAACCTCTGCCAGCGGGGACTGCTGCCGCCTCCTAAGAAGCCCATCAAGATGAGTGATGCTGCAAGGGGAAAGCGTTAGGGAGCTGCCTTCAGGTTTCATTCTTTGCCAACCACTCGCAGCTTGCAAGCTGAGTCCTCTAAAAAAATGCGCGCTCCCTCCTAACCTGTCCTGCGATGCCCCTCGAGCTGCTGCAGAACTCCTGCGTGGTGGGAGACACAACTGTAAATGGTATTAAAGGAGGCATAGAAGACTAAGGCATTAATATTTTACATTAAATAACATAGAAATGGGTTGCTTGGCTTTTGGGAAGGGTTATGGCAAGTGCTGGTGGTGTTGGGGATGTGGCGTGACCCGGGGGTGGCCAAAATGAACCCAGGATCTGGCTGAAACCCGGGGGCTGAAGCGGCTGTTGCTGCTGTGCCACCAAGGAGGGGTTTGGGGGTGGCTCCCAGACACCCCAGAACCTGCCTCTGGGGTCCCCGAGGATGCCCGGGGTGCTTTCCCTCTACTAATCTCAATTCTTCCCCAAGCGGCCAAATTTAATTCACGTGTCTCTCCTCCCCCCACGCTGCAGGAGCTCTATGGAAGGAAAACCCCATCCCACATTGAAAGAAAACAGAAGAAAAGTCTCATTTTGGCCCCAAATCTGTGTCTGGAGGGGACAGCTGATCCCTCTTGGTGCAAGAGCCACAGGGTCGAGCCTGGATGGAGGGGGACTTTTTATTGACAGAGGAAAAAAAAGCCCCTGATGGTTATGAGAGCAAATAGCAGTTCAAAAAGGGGAGATAAACCAGTGAGACATCCCAAATTTAAACATAAAGTTTGTCTTTCTGTCTTCTGCCTGAATTTGCGGGTGTTGTTGCCCGGGATCCCCCAGCACAGCAGCACCAAGGGTCTGGGGCAGCAGCAGGCAGCACCTCTGTAATATATTAACACCCGATAATGAAAATAAACCCGACAATTAGCCAGAGCAGGGAGGGGAGGGTGTGTTTTATTGCCCATCCCTCGCTGGGAACCCCCTGTCCGGTGGCCGTCCATCACAGCGTGTCACCCCTCCGCAGCAACCGCTCCCCATCACCTATCATCGAGCCCAGATTTTTGCCAAGTTTCTTTCCCCCCCTCACACCCCAAAACACATCGAGGAGACCCACAGGGCTGGGGTGCTGGGTTTTTTTGGAGGGGGGCTTACCTGGGGCCGGGGTGGGAGCCCGACCGCTGTCACCACACACCCTCCGTCCCCCTCTCCCGTGCGCTCCCGGAGAGCGTCTGCCACTCTGCCACTGGTCCCGGCGGCTTTTTATATCCCCTCGCGACAATCGCATCTGCCAGAGGGAAAGGGGGGGCGAGAGGGGGGGGCGAGAGGGACCGTTCCAGGTACCGAACAAAAGATGAGCGAGCGACGGGTGTCCGCTGGATCCGGCCCCGCGGTGCATGGAGGGATTAGCATCTCTTCGCGAAGGGCAGCCGGCAAAGTTTTCCGGGCGATGCTGTTAATTGCGTTTGCAGCTTTGGAGCTGGGGTGGGGGC